TCTCATCCCGTGTGCTGACCAAATACTCCCGTCTCTGCTGTGCTGCTGCAAGGGTCTGTAACCTATCGCTATCGGTTACGCGTCGACCACACTTTACCACGATAGCAGCAATGAATATTGACAAAACGAAATTGAAACGCATTATAAAACATAAATGGCAGTGCAACCCGTTCCCTCCAGATTTACCTCAGCTTGGCCACAGGGGGGGCTTGACCGAGCAGCTGAGGGCAGAGGACATCTGGAATCAGCGCAAAATTAGCTTTCAGATGGTGGTACTCTTATGACGGGAGGTGGCCTGAGTGGCTCAAAGCTTTATTCTCTCAGTGTTGACTGGCGTTGACTGAACTATAAGGGACTACGCCCCAGGGGGCTCCGCCCCAAAAATATGAAACACATGCAACTTATTGCCATTTGTAACAATGAGGGAACGCAAAAGCTCTTCCGTAATAACCCAAATTGGCTTGAGGATTTAAAACGGAGATCCATGTAGGACTCTGGTGCCACAAAAGCAGTCAACAGCTTGCAGAAAATCAAAACACTACCCTCTCTTTTAAAGCACCCCGCACATGGAGGAAGAAATTTGCACTTTTGCATCATGACTCGCACAACATTTTCGAAGTCTACAGCCAACAAAGAACCATCACACCTAACGTACAAGCATTCCTGCAACCCCTGCAACCGAAGATCCCAGGCTGGCGACACCTAACATATACAGATGGCAGTGTCATAAAGTCCAACAACAAAAATACACAGTAAGCAGGGGCATCCCTTTTCATCCCGGAAGACATCTCCTCCTCTGAAACTGTCACCTGCACAATAAATCCCAAGGGTCATGGGCCATGGTCCCACTTATACTATTAACAGAGCAGAGCTCGCTGCAATTCTGGTATCTCTACAGCAAGGGCACACTTCAATTGCGACTGACAGTTCTTCAGCGCTTCGTCAGATTAAAAACGAGCTTCTGAAACCCATGGATATGCCCATGCACTTACATACACCACTGCTCAAAGAAATCATAGCCTGCATTAATGCTTCAGAAGGCCCTGTCCACTTCTACAAAGTAAAATCACATTGTGGAATCCTCGGTAATGAAAGCGCATATGCCCTTGCTCATCAAGCAGCTATGCTTCCTAATGAAGCTAACACCTCACTCAACCAAGCAGACACTCCTTTCTTCCATCTCTATTGGCTTGCTGCATCTGTCACATCACATAGCTCTCACACAGAAAACTTGCCCCTTTCAAAACTCCAGGACAAACTGAAACAAGTAAAGCATGAAAAACACAAATTGGGCACAGCAAACCTCAGCACATATAGCTACCAAAATTGGCAGAACCTGCTCAGAATGATTAATGCTCACCCCACTGCCAATTCAACAATAAGTAATGCTTTCTGGCACATGAAAGTTGTGACTCTCAAAGAACAAACCAATGTCCTCAAGTATCAAACGGACACCCTTTACGATGGCGAACATGCCAGACGCTTCAGTGGATACCCTGGGCCTTTTAGATCTCTTTGCCCTCTTTGTGGTACACCTGATAGCACCTCCCATACCCTACTCAGATGCACTCACCCACAGATAAACAGGATGAATATCAATCGCCACCATCAAGCACTCAGCATCTGTGGTGAAGCAATAAGCAAAGGAGACTTTGGATCTTACATCGTCTTTATAGATGCATGTAATACAGAGAGGTTACGCTCCCTGGATATGGAAATTCCAAATACTGTCCATCGACATATTCCACATTGGCTGTTTCCATCCAGACAACCACCACACACACAGCTCAGTCGCCCTGATGGCATTATAGTTTTACCCCTTGAAGGCAGAGACTCCACACATCACCCGCAGGATATGAATCCCAGAG